TTAAGCCTTGAGCAAAGCAAGAGAGATATCGCCAGCATATTACCTCTTTGTGATTACAGTCCATGAATGACAGGCGGTAGACAAATGAGCAAACAAGTAATGAACAACACATAAGATAAATACTCTGTGATTTAGGACCAAAGGAATGGTAGGGAAAGGTATGTTCCTGGAGGTGGTGAAGCTGCCCCTTATTAACTCCCGCCACGTCTAAAGAGGTAAATGGCAGAATTCCAAGAACAGCGCACTAGGAAAAGAATCTGGAAAACTAAATAGTAGCGGTATTCCTTAGGCAGGAATGTCCTCAGTAGGCACCTGGAAGGATCAGAAAGAAAGCTGCCAGGCAACCGTTTGTAGAATCACATCATGTAGCCGTATGTTGAATCTGGAGCAAGTCAAAGAGAGTAAAGATGCATTTAATTTCTGATGACACTGTGTTGTCAGAAGGACTAATATCAAGAAAATGGAGAAGTGACATATTTTAAATCTATAAATTGCATTTCATGTTCATTTGTCACCTCTAGGAAAAGCAAATAAAGTTTCTTTCTTCTCCCAAAGTGGATGATGAATGATTGCTTCGGGTTGGGTGGCGGGAGCCTGTGTTGCCATTATTGACTTTCTATGGAAAACAGTTCATCTGCAGATGCAGTCAGTGCGGTGTCTGCACACCCTGGAAGGCATAAGTAAGCTGGTTCTAATCACTCATGGCTGATCTGAACAGAGAATAATTACTTTCCTGTTGAAGACACACTCTTCCCCTTGTCTCAACCCTCCTCTGCCTCCAAGTACAGCAGCAGGGATTTGTTCCAGAGGACTCAGACTCAGTGTCACAGGGGTCCATGGACTGCTTTCAGCCAAAGTCAGGTATGAAGAGGACTCACTCCCTCACTTACTGATTTGTTCATTCATTTGTTTATTTACGAAGATGGACGGACCTACTGTGGACCACGCTTTATGCCAAAGACCCCTCTTCTTAGAGAGCTCACTTGAGGAATTGTGCAAAGTTTAGATTCATGCCTTTTACAGAGTCCTCCTGAAATTCTCTCCTGATCATATTCTAGAATGCAGAGGATTAAACATGCAAAGCCAGAAGGGGACAGAGAGCCAGGGTAAACTGGCAAACCAGGGATCACTGAGCATGTCTAAGAAATGTAATCTGTTATTTTTTGAGGAGTATTCCCTAACTTGAAGATACTATTTTGATAGTATTTCCCGGGAGAACATCTTTTTGAGAAGGTAGGACTTTATAAATGACATCATTTACATCTAAAGGTTGGATCACATTTATTTTTATATTGTTTCTTTTGCTCAGATAGGTTACACAGTTTCTGTTTAGATCTTGCTTAAATTCTTTATTGTTAACTTATTTACTTTTAATAATCTTCAAAAGGACACAACTAGGGGAAATAAATAAAATCTTTAGAAAAGAAAGAATGGCATGCTCTATCGACTGAGCCAGCCAGGTGCCCCAAGGGGTGCCTGGGTGGCTCAGTCGTTGAGCGTCTGCCTTCGGCTCAGGTCATGATCCCAGGGTCCTGGGATCGAGCCCCGCATCGGGCTCCCTGCTCAGCGGGAAGCCTGCTTCTCCCTCTCCCACTCCCCCTGCTTGTGTTCCCTCTCTCGCTGTGTCTCTCTCTGTCAAATAAATAAATAAAATCTTTAAAAAAAAAAAAAAAGGGACACAGCAGGGGTGCCTGGGTGGCTCAGGCATTAAGTGTCTGCCTTCGGTTCAACTCATGATCCCGGGGTCCTGGGATCGAGTCCCACATCAGGCTTCCTGCTCTGTGGGGAGCTTGCTTCTCCCTCTCCCACTCCCCCTGCTTGTGTTCCCTCTCTTGCTGTGTCTCTCTCTGTCAAATAAATAAATAAAATCTTAAAAAAAAAAAAGGACACAACAAACCTAATTTATTTAGGAATAAATTACTAAAGAATTTGAATTTAAAGACTGAAATAATAAAATTCCATTTATTCAAAGAACTTAAGTACTTATTGCCATTCAACCACTGCAGTGATTGTAACCTAATTATGTCAAAGGCTGTGATTAAGAAATTGAAATACATTGTACACAATGGTACATACTCGTGTGTACATGCGTTTGTGTGTTTACGGTTCAGTTGAAAATGAACATGGGTCATAACATTAAATGGAAAAAAACCAATAATCCATGATATTATATAGAGATGTGAATAAAGAAGTAGAGGGAAACACACACATAGTTTGACTTGTTGAAGGAAGAGGGTCACCAGCAATTTATTTTTCTTTTATTTTGAATTCTGCTGGCAGTCCTACAAAGTTTGTGCAATAAAAAATGGCTAAATAAAAATGGATCCAGATTGACCTGTTTGCTTTGTGTGGATCTGAGCAGAGATTTGAGAGAGGAACCACTGGGAGTTTTGTGTAATTCAGACCCATCTATAAATCTGACAGGGGGACTTTCCTGACAGCTTCCATCATTTCCAGAATGTCAGATGTTCAGACAGAGGGTTTCAGGTGAGGACTACAGAGGGAAGGTGAGATTTTGGTCTACATATTTTCAGCACTCAGAATAAAAACAAAGGAACCCATGAGTTTTGTTTATTCCATACTAAGTATTCATATGTTTGAAAATATCTGTGTTATTCTACCTTCCCTCGTCTAGTATTATCTGGAAGCAGAAGATCTCATATGTCTGCTGACTTGGAGCAAGTATGAGTATCAACAACATTTTACATGACACATGAAAATCAGCTTTATTTGAGGATATTCTGTGGAACTACTGCTTTTATTTTGATGAAATAGTCTGCCAGGAGAAGCAGGTGGTGATATCTGCGCTCATGGGAAGAAAGACATATTTTGGTTAACAGGGAACTAGAAAATCAGAGGAGGGAAAAAATCACCTTGCCTGAGACAGTGGATGCTCTATAAAACTGAAATGCTTCGTATTATTATGGAAATGACTTTTTGGCCATAGTGCCGAAAGGTTGTTACATATCCTTGTTAATTGTGGCTGGAGACACAGAGCAATGTGATCATTTGATGACTTGTTATTTGGAAAATGACAGCTTCTATGTGCCAATAAATATGAAATCACCTGGAAGTATTGTTGTGAATTTAGGAGCCATCTGAGCATCCAGACTTCATGCATACACTAGATTTTAATGAAGGGACATGAGTTTGTACTTAGTAGATTACCTGGTGGTTCTGCTTCAGCTATCTGATGAGCGGACACTGTCTGCTTAGTGAATGCGAGACGGAGAAACCTGTGTAACTCTGTCACAATTTTTGGTTGGTAGACAGTGGCTTCACTGGAACATGGAATGAGCAATTAGTCTCCAGTTTCATGTGTGCTTTTCATCTTGTCCGGAGTGCGGCTGACAGCCAGGATTCCACTCACTCACCTCATCCCGTTCTCCTCTTCACGAAGGGACAGGTTGAAGGAGTGGCGAGGAGCCTTGAATCCGTCCTGGGTTACATAAACACAGTTCAGTCTGGTATGCGCTCTTCATGTGCCATTTGGACTGACAGGACACCGCTTTCAGAGATGACACTAACTATTCTGAGGTTTTAATGTGATTGCCTCCAAATGCTTGAGAAAGCCCAGTGTGTTTGTCTGGCAGGCGGATCTTTTATGACATGGCTCTTTTTTTTTTTTTTTTTTTCCTTCCCTCTCTCTTCCTTTCCTGGAACTGCTGCATCCTTAGCTGGCAATCTTTAAACCCTGGGCTGCAGCGATTTCTCTTCATGCGGCCACACATTAAGCACATCTTTCATGCTTCTCCGAACCAAACTCAGAAAGTGCCAATTAATAAGTTGATGGGGAAGAAGTCAGTGGGTAACATTAAGGCCACCTGTCTGGAGGCATTAGGTGAGCACTTTGAGTGAGTGAAAGCAGACCTGCGGAGAGTCAGGAATGAGGTACTTTATCACACGTTCCTAGAGACATAAAATGAGAGAATAAAAAGCAGTTTCCAGGGCAGCTCCTCCATCTTGTTCCTGTTGTGGATGGTTTCCACTGCTCTGGCCATGGTTAACCATCCTAACAAGAAAGTACAAAGCATCTGAAGCTGTAAATGTGTCCACATGTAAAGCATATTCTTTGGTCAGTAGGCTACAGACTGAGCAGGACGCCTGGCTACTCTTTCCACGGCGCTCCCATTTATACCCGCTCAGACTGTTTTGGGCGTCTTTCTACTTCCGTGTGATGACTCTGAAAACTCTTCTCGTTCATTCATTTATTTACTTATTCATTCGCTTGGAAAATATTTATGGAGTCTATAAAATATGCTGGGTGTTACTCTAGCCGCGGGGAATATACCTGTGGGGCGGAAAAAGCGAGAAATATCCAATATCCCTTTTCTCATGGACTTCATGGACTAGTAGGGAGTATGTAGATGATAAGCAAAATAAAAAAGGAAATCATAAAATAGGTTAAAAGGTGACAAAGTCAGCTTTATACAATTTCCAGAGAAGGCTTTAGAAAGCCCAGCCTTTGAGTCAAGACTCAGAAAATCAGACTGAAGGTAGGATGACATATGGGGATAGTGTTAATGTAAGTAAGAGGGCTTACGGTAAGAGAGAAAAACCAATGGAGCCCATCCTATTTCTGTTTCTTTCCACCTTAACCACAACAGATTATGACAAGTCTTGCTCTTTTATTTCTCCAAAATGGAAAGTAGACAAGGTACAATAGGAAAGAGGACTGAGGTTAGGGGAAGAGTGGGACATATTTTAGATTAAGGAAATAACCTTGGGAAAAAACAAGGAGCCCCATAGAAGAAACTAAAATGCACTCCTCTGTGTCCTCTTCCTTCCTTCCACCTTGTCTGCCTCTTTTTTTTTTTTTTTTAAGTAGTTTCATGGCATTGGTCCAGGAGAACAAACCAGCAGAGTCAAGGTCCTTGTTTGACCAAACATTCTTTGCTCCTTTTTCCTCTCTTTCCAAAAATTTAGCTTATTTCTAAGTCTTGTAAATTTGTAAACTTAACTTTTTGTTGTTTTCTTTCCCCAACAATTCTTGGCTGCAGATTATGTTACTCACAGACCCGGAGATTGAGAGCAGCTTATTGATCAGCTCAGATGAAGGGGCCACCTATCAAAAGTACCGGCTGAACTTTTACATCCAAAGCTTGCTTTTCCACCCCAAGCAAGAGGACTGGATTCTGGCATATAGCCAAGACCAAAAGGTGAGCGTGATTACCTTGTTTGAGACAACAGTGCACGATTTTCCAGGGAACAGGCTGCTAGCTAATTATCTCTACATTTCTTTTCGGTGGTGACTTTTTTTCTGTGCAGTAGCCTGAACTCTGAGCCAGGGGGTCACAGGGCAGCAAGGAGGATTTCCGGGTGCTTGCTTGAGCTGTGTCAACATCTGAAACAGCATGCAAGGGAAAAGCCTGACACTAAGGAAGACATGGTGGAGAAGCAGTTCTTAACCTAAGATACTGCAGGCCATGAGGAGCTCCCAACACCCATGGAATTTGAGACTGCTTTGTGCATGAGGAGATGTGATTCTTTTCTGGATAAAGGGCCCAAGGCTTTTCTCAGAGCCTTGTAGGGAAGGACAACCCTGAAAAGGTGAAGAGCACTAACTAAGGATTTGCTAAAACAGTGAGAGAAATGGCCAGAGGAGCAATAATAATGTCCATAGATAGGAGCGCCTGGGTGGCTCAGTTGGTTAAGCGACTGCCTTCGGCTCAGGTCATGAACCTGGAGTCCCAGGATCGAGTCCCACATCGGGCTCCCTGCTCAGCAGGGAGTCTGCTTCTCCCTCTGACCCTCCCCCATCTCATGCTCTCTCTCTCTCTCTATCTCATTCTCTCTCTCAAATAAATAAATAAAATCTTATAAAAAATAAAAAAAAATAATGTCCATAGATAATATTATTCAGAGTCAAGTAATGTCAGGATTTGTCTGCTCTTGGTGGTTGCGTTGAAGGAGAAGTCTACTTTTTAAGAAAGCATTTAATGAGGTTGTGTGTGCGTGTGTGATATGTATATGTATTTTGTGGGATACATATTATATACTCTATACTACAGATGCACTGTAAAATACCTTTAGCTCCTGCTTTTGAAAAACTTACATTTTCAGGGGGCACCTGGGTGGCTCAGTCATTAAGTGTCTGCCTTCAGCTCAGGTCATGATCCCAGGGTCCTGGATTCGAGCCCCACATCAGGCTCCCTGCTCAACGGGAAGCCTGCTTCTCCCTCTCTCACTCCCCCTGCTTGTGTTCCCTCTCTCTGTCAAAGAAATAAAATGTTTAAGAAAAAAAAACAACTTACATTTTCAGGTAGAATGTAAGGCTAGAAACAGCAAATATAACTAAATAAAAGATTCACAGGCAAATATCAGACTCTAGCCATAAAAGCCAACTGGAAAATAGGTGCAACCCTGGAATGTTCTTTGTGAAGTGCGTGATTCAGTGAAGTTATCCTGCAAATTATTTTTATAGGCATCTTATGCTAGAAATTACACGTATTTAAAGAAATGTTAGTGAGGAGGGTACTCAAGGGTTTTTTTTTTTGTTGGGAAAATGTAGGTGTGTGGGGTTCTTCCTGAAGGGAGGGGACTGATGGACGTACGGACATGGGCATTTTGGAGGAAGCAAATTAAAATTAAAATTCTCAGGATTGGAATTTTATTTATGCTGCCCTTACTGCCAAATAAAATGCACATTGAGCCTAAAAATAGAAAAGATTTACAATTGGTATTTTTTTCCTCTTAAGCAGCCTGCCTACCCTTTCAGCAGAACGTACAATTCTGTTCCTGGAGTCAAGCCACCGTGCATCTGGTCCAAGATGGTGCAGTTACCAGAGGCGAGGCTGAGCAGCTCAGGACACAGAGTAGTAATTTAATCCCCTGGGCTATTGTATTTTATTTGACGGTTGGTTAATGCTCCCCCTGATGCCAGAGGCATAGCGAGGGCCAGATTTACCTGCCTAAAGGAAAACTATGCATCTCTGGAGTTGTGCTGGAGGAGATGCCCAGAAATGTAACCCTTCATGTCCCAGCACTTCCAGCAGTGCCTCCCCACAATCAATGTGGCAGAGTGGACAACTGTGGAGGAGTGACGAGAGGACATCTGAGTTGTGGCCCCAACTCAGCCATGGACTTGTGCACAGTACTTGGTGTTGGCTCTCTTTGCCTTAAGATGCATTTGTACGGATCAGTATACTTGCAGGTGCGCGTCCAATGAGATTAAAAAAAAAAAATACATTAGCCCACATCTGTTTTAGGTGCTCATCATAGTTCAGTGTTGATCTAAAATAACTTTATCAAGGAACACTCAGTCCATGTGGGAAGAGAAGATAAATGCACATGAGTTCACCAGTAGTCTAAGAGAGGCCAAAAAGTCAGTGCCTCACTCACACATAAACAGATATCCAGTTGAAGTAGCTGGGTGCATTATATGAAATTGGCAGCCCAAAGTTCAGGAGATGGAGATCTTATGAAATGATTTCACCTTGACCTTAAAGGATTTATGTCATATTTCTGTTTGGAGGGTCACACTTCATACTTCACACAAGAGGAATGTCATAAACGATAATATAAAGTTAGAAAAACCGTGTTTACACAGTTGAGAATGTGTCCATTTGGCTGAAACTAAAATTTTATAAAGTTAATTCTGTGTATATTTGTGGAATCTGATCTTGATTGTTTTTCACTGTTTGCTAGGCAGAATGAGTTTTGTTTTCATAATTAGGAGCCTTGCGAAAATTTTGGTCAGTGGAATGGTGTGTTCAGAGGTATAGATTACAGAGGTTAATCTGGTAGCAATTTTAGGATGAACTGTGGTAATATGAGGTCAAAAGCAAGAAGACCAGTTAAGGTGATATCACCACAGTCCTGGTCTGGACCAAAAAGTACCTCCTGTGACCGTGGACCCAATGAATTCTGTCATTGTAGAACTGGAAGACGCCTTAACAGTCCTTGCTGGTATATAGCTAACAAACCACAGGTCTGAGAAGTCAATGAATTTTCCCAAAGGTAAATACCACTCATTGGCATCACATGTCAAAGTTCAGTGAATGGAATGAAGGCTTACCTGGAATTTGGTAGGGTTCTCATTCTCGATTGTGATATCTCGAGATCAGCAGATAGGCAGAAACCAGCCTTTCTGCTGCTCTCTCTGTTTTTCCAGGAAAGAATGAAGGTGAAATCATTCTGGAAAAAAATTGTGGATAACCTTCTAATCTGAGTAGGGGATAGAGTGCTCCCTGTCTCAGGCTTGAATCACAGAATAAGGAGTAGGGCGTTTGCTGGGAGGAGAATGGGCTGCAGGCGTCAGATGACCTCCTGGCCGATGCTTTTGGCTGGAAGTCAAGTTGAGGGTCTGTGGCCGCTTGGGTGGGCCAGCGATATGGAAATGACAGCTGGCAATCCCCCATGAATCCTGAAGCATTTACCACTGATGAGATGCAGCAGTGAGCACCAAGGAGGGCCCTGAGCTGGTGTCGACAGGCCAGCGACTGTCCTGGCCCAGGAGAAGGGAACTTTCATTCTTCCGTGTAGGCATTGCTCCTCAGATTTTCTGTGACAGCCACTGTTGCTTCTGCGGCAAGGCTCCCAGCTAAGATCCTCGCCTCGGCGCGAATCCCCACTTTGCTGGATGCTTTTCTGCACCAACGGATGGCAAACAGAATCCTCAGGCAAAAGGCGCTGTCTCTTAGAAAGAATCTTCATGAGGTGGCAACTCCTCAGACTCACCTGTTAACAGAATTCTCCACTCTTCCCTCTTCCCTCTTCTCTTGTGTCCCATCCTCACTGTCTTCTCAGGCATCCATTCCCTCTTTTGCATACATGCTCTCCCTCTTTTGCCAACTGTATTTCCCCCTTTATTTCCCAGCCATGGCTTTCTCTCTCCTTCAGTGCAGGAGACTTTTTTTAAAATTTTATTTTACTATGTTATGTTAATCACCATACATTACGTCATTAGTTTCTGATGTAGTGTTCCATGATTCATTGTTTGTGCATAACACCCAGTGCTCCATGCAGAACATGCCCTCTTTAATACTACCCATTACCAGGCTAACCCATCCTCCCACCCCCCTCCCCTCTAGAACCCTCAGTTTGTTTATCAGAGTCCTTAGTCTCTCATGGTTCGTCTCCCCCTCCGATTTCCACCCCCTTCATTTTTCCCTTCCTGCTATCTTCTTTTTTTTTTTTTAAACATATAATGTATGATTTGTTTCAGAGGTACAGATCTGTGATTTAACAGTCTTACACAATTCACAGCGCTCACCAAAGCAAATACCCTCCCCAGTGTCTATCACCCAGCCACCCCATCCCTCCCACCCCCCACTCCAGCAACCCTCAGTTTGTTTCCTGAGATTAAGAATTCCTCATATCAGTGAGGTCATATGATACATGTCTTTCTCTGTTTGACTTATTTCACTCAGCATAACACCCTCCAGTTCCATCCACGTCGTTGGAAATGGCAAGATCTCATTCCTTTTGATGGCTGCATAATATTCCATTGTGTATAGATACCACATCTTCTTTATCCATTCATCTGTCGATGGCCATCTTGGCTCTTTCCATAGTTTGACTATTGTGGACATTGCTGCTATAAATATTGGGGTGTACATACCCCTTCGGATCCCTACATTTGTATCTTTGGGGTAAATACCCAGTAGTGCAATTGCTGGGTCGTACGGTAGCTCTATTTGCAACTTTTTGAGGAACCTCCATACTGTTTTCCAGAGTGGTTGCACCAGCTTTGCAAGAGACTTTTTTTTTTTTTTAAAGATTTTATTTATTTATTTGACAGAGAGAGAGAGAGAACAAGTAGGCAGAGAGGCAGGCAGAGGCAGAGGGAGAAGCAGGCTCCCCGCCGAGCAGGGAGCCCGATGTGGGGCTCCATCCCAGGACCCTGGGACCATGACCTGAGCCGAAGGCAGCGGCTTAACCGACTGAGCCACCCAGGTGCCCCTGCAAGAGACTTTTAAGGCCCTGAGGACAGAGTCTGGATCTCTGGCTTGCAGGATGGAGCCCATACGGGTTCGGTGTTCTGCTCTGCCTGCGTTTCATCTTGAATGCCTCAATACCCAGTGGAGGCTTTTTGATGTGAGCATTTTAAGGGACTCAAAGAGTTTTGTTGAGCAGATTGTCCTTTCTGGTCCAGGATAGAGTTTTACTGACCATCAGTTCCTTAGCAAATCAGATTTTTTTTTTTTTGTTTTAAATA